AAGGTGAGATTAAAAATTACGGTAAACTCAGCTGAGAAATGTCATCCTTTTCAACCTTACTCACTGGATCAGGGACCCTGACCCAGGGACTTCAGGTTTACACAAAGTAAATGTTTTGAATTAAGGACACAGAGGCAGCCACTGTACCACAATTGAAGAAAACAAAGAGGCCTTCCAAAACTACCTCAGAAAGTAACAAGGGTAGAATAAGTGTGTTTGAAGAGAGAGGGAATACTTTGAGAAAGATTAATAGCAATGGATTTTACTGTAATAAATCCAAATATTCACCATATTTTAAAATCACACAGCATATATATCGCAGGCCATAAACCAAACCATTAAAAAAATCTAAAACAATTAAAATCATATAGCATGTGATCTCTGATCAGAATGAGATCACCCTAAAGATGAAGTAACAGGTAATAGGAGCATCTCTAAACACTTAGAAATTAAATGATAAACATCTAAATAATTCATAGGTCAAAGAGGAAGTCTGAAGAGAATTTTTTCTAAAATACATTAAACTGAAAGTTAAAGTATAGAACAGCAAAATTTGTTGGATACAGCTAAAGCAATGCTGAAGAAAATTTGTAATGCTAAATACATATGTTAGACAAATGGGAAAGTTTCCAATCAATAATCTTTTTAGAGAAAGTCCCAGGCAAGGATGCCTATAATCCCAGCTTCTCAGGAGGTTGAGGTAAGAGAACCATTCTGGGCAACTTAGTGAAACACTGGCTCAAACTAAAATTTTAAAACAAGGTTGGGGTTGTAGCTCAGTTTTACAGCACTTGCTTAGCTTACATGAGGCCCTGAGTTCAGTCTACAGTATGATAAAAATATCTAGGAAAAGAAGAGAATAAAACAGAAACAATCAGAAAGAAGGAAAAGAGAAATAAAATTGAAAATCAGAAAATTAAGCCAGGCATGATGATACACACCTGTAATTTCAACATCCTTGAAAGGCTGAGGCAGAAAGCTTGAAAGTTCAAACAGAGGTTGGGCAATGTAGCAACTTAGTGAAAGCCTGTCTCAAAAATTAAAAAGGATATGGTGGCACATACCCACATCCCAGCAGTCTGAAGACCGAGGTAGGAGGTTTGTCACAGCCTGGGTAACATAGTTCAAGTCCAGCCTGAACTACATAGCAAGACCTTGCCTCAAAAAACAAAATAAAACTTAAATAGAGAAAAATCAATGAGACAAAAAACTGATTCTCTAAAAAAGATAAGGCAGACAAAAAAAGAGAAAAGACACTGTCAAAATCAGGAATGAAATACTAAAGCCCTACAAACCTTTCAAATTCTACAGTTAAAAGGACAATAAGGAAATGCTATGAACTCAATACACATAAATTTGACAATGTAGATGAAATGGACCAATTACTTATAAATACAAACTATCAGAACCCAATATAAAATAGATAATGAAATTCATAATTTAGAGACTTTCCAAAGATATCTCCAGGTCCAGAGGGTATTAGAGGAAATGTTTAAAGAATTAATGCCAATTCCAGAGAATCTCTACCAGAAAATAGGAGAGGCGGTAACACACAATTCATTTTATGAAACTTACATTACCCATATATGAAAACTAGATAAAGGTCCCTCATGAATATAGATGTATACTAATATTCCTCATGAATACACTTATAAAAACTCAATAACAATATAAAAAGAATTATACATTATAATTAAGTGGAGTTTACACTAATGATGTAAGGTTGACTCAGTACTCAAAAATCAATGTAACTCATAATATTAATGATCTAGATGAGGGCAAAAAAATCACCATATCAATTAGTATAAAAATTGCATACAACAAAAATCTCAGGAAATGAGGATAATGGAGGAATGTCCTCATTCTTTTTTTTTTTTTTGGTACTGGGGATTGAACTTGGGTCCTTGTGCTTGCGAGGCAGGCAGTGGAACTACTGAGCTAAATCCCCAGCCCCTCATTCTTGATAGCGATCTACAAAAATTCTGTAATTAGCAGGGCATATGGGAGCAAGCCTGTAATGCCAGCACTCAGGAGGCTGAGTCATATGGACTGCCACAAATTTGAGGCAATTGTGGGCTACACAGTGAGTTCAAGCCAGCCTAAATAACACAGCAAGACCCTGTCTCAAAAACAGCAACTAAAAAAAAAAATTCTATAGTTTACATTACATTTAATAGTGAAAGACAAATTTCTTTCTTTTAGTATCAGAGACAAGGCAAGGATGTCTGCTTCATTTCCTTTATTCAACAGTGTTAGTTTTAGCTAGTGCAATGAGGCAAGAAAAAGAAACAAAAGATATACAATTCAGAAAGAAGAAATAAAATTGCCCTCATTTGAAGATGACGTGATTGTTGACTAGGAAAATCCCAAGAAACCATGAAAAAAAGCTCCTAAAACTGTTAATGAGCATAGCACTGTTGCAAGATACAAGATAAACATAAAATCAATTATATTTATGTACACTAGTAATGAACATGTACACGCGTTAAGTTAAAAACAAAACATTTACAATTACTCCAACAAAAATGAAATGCTGAGGTATAATCTAACAAACATGTATAGGACGTGGCTTGCTAAAAACTACAAAATGTTGATGAATGAAATTTTAAAAAGACTGAAATAGAGAAAGGTATAATAAGACTCAATACAGTAAAAGCTCAACATGATAAAGATGTCAATTCTTCCCAGAGTGATGTAAGGGTTTAATATAATTCCTACCACAATCCCATCAAGAATTTCTTTAGATGTAGATAATTTTATTGTAAAATTTACATGGACAGACACAGGAACAAGAAAAGCTAAAGCAATTTTGAAAAAGAATACAGTCAGATAAATTAGTCTGTACCATTATAAGACTTATAATGTTGTTGTAATAATCCAGACTCTGTGTAGGCAGAGGAACAAATAGATCAGTGGGACAAACCCCAGAAACAGAGCCACACAAATATAACCAATTGATTTTTTGACAAAGGCTTAAAAGTAACTCAATGCAGAAAAAAAATGGTTCCTGAGGAAAAAAATGGTTCCTGAGTTACATGATATCAATAGGGTTAAAAAAAAAAGAATCTTGGTCTAATTCTCTTTACTTAAATGAAAGTTAAGGTAGATCACAAACGTAGACAATTTCAGGAACTACAGGTAGGTATTTTACTTGATGCCACAAGCAAGATCCATAAATGCAAAAATTGATGTTTAATTCATAAAATTCAGAGCTTGTGCTCTGAGAAGGGCAATGTGAATTAAGATAAAATGAGAAAATCACAGAACATAGAAAATATTTATAAAACATCTATTTGACAAAAGACTAGGATCTAGAACCTATAAAGAATTTGCTAATATACCAACAGTAAAACAGAAATGGCCAAATTAGAATATGAACAAAGGATATAAAGAAATATTTTACTGAAGGGAGTATAAAGATGGCCAGGTAAGCATATAAAACAAAGTTCAACAATCATAAGCCACTAGAGAAATGCAAATGAAAACCACAACAAAGTATCATCATACATCTATCAGAATGGCTCAAATAAAAAATACTACACTAAATGCTGGTGATGCGCTGGGGATTTAGTTCAGGTGTCTGCACCTGCCTTGCAAGAGCAAGGACCTGAGTTTGATCCCTGGTATAAAAAAAAAAAAAAAAAAAAAAAAAAAAAAAAAA